GTTTAAGTTTTCTACGAGAATAACAAACGCTGTACCCCTTGATTTATGACCTTAGTAAATACTTTCCTGATGAGTTCATGGTTATGGTTAAAGGTATGGATCCTATTCAACTCAAAAAGGACAATAAAGTGGGTACATCTTAGGAGTTAGCTAGTGGATGATCATGATGTTGAGGATCGACAGTGGTCAAAGTGACTCACCAATTAATTTCCTAATATAGAAAGAAAATGTAAACACTAGCAGTCAACTAGAAGACACATCTGACCGCTTTTGTATAGATATAGTCGCCAAAGACACAGGACACAGGGTGTTTTAATTCCCCAAATACCTAAGAGACTACAGTTTTAAAAAGACTGGTGAACCTGATCAGTCTGTTCAGGCATTTCTGACTGATCCTGAGGAGTACCTGCCATCAGTATCAACACCGCTCACCTGTCCATTTTCACCACTTCAGCATCAAGGATGTTACGGAGAACCTGCTCCACGGGGATCTCTCCAGCATAGCCAGCTCCCCAGCCTAAAGTGTTAGAGAGGTCATTTCCTGTCCCCAGAGGCAGGATGGTCACCCTGGGGATGAACTGGTCCTGGCCCTGACAAAAGAAAGTAGAAAAGTGTCAAAGCGAAGAAGTAATGCGTAAAAGAAAGATCGCTCTTTTTTCTTGAGCGCAGAGACGTCTCACCTTTAGCTTCATAGCATCGATGGCATCGAGCACCCATCCCACTGTGCCATCACCTCCACACACCAGCACCTGGACACTGCCGGGGGGGAGGAGGGTGCACAGCTGGAGGGCTTTGGAAGGAGTCAGCTGAGATAAGTCAAACACCTGGAGGTGAAGCAGAAAACAAGATTAGTTCCAGGATCTGAAAAAGAGCAATGACAAAGTTTGCTCTCACTGAGACAAAAGATGCAGGCGAGCTGCAAGCTGACCTGCACCGGGTTGAGGAGGGTGCGAAACTCCCCCAGCAGCACCTCCCCCATGTTGTTCCCGCTACGCGTGTTAGCCAAGACCAACACTGGAGTCCAGCCGCTGCCACAGGAAGAGCCGAGCTACAAGATACAAGCAGAAAACGCATTTTTAAAACATCTCCGGAGCACCCGACGTAGGAGCACTATGACGAGGCCAGTCGTGACTTCAACACCTTGCTGTACTCGTCGGGGTGCCTGCGGCGCAGCTTGTTGACACGGTAGAGGTAGTGAGGGGGGATGATGAGGTTGTGGAACTCGCCCAAGTCGCACACGTCTCCATCCGTCAAGCTCTCCATGCAGTCATCGTGCACTGTGGTCTGGCACCACACACACCTGAAGGAGGAGCAGGGGGAGCGAAACTATAAGAAAGGTGATGAAGCACATAAAAAGAAATACTGCCAATGAAAGGAAGACCCTGAACTGCTCACAAAGCGGGGCATGAGTGTCATGCTGAGGTGGGGTCTTTTAAGATTGAAATTTGTTATGTTGAACAGCAGCAGGAGCCCATTAGAGGTGGTTCCGTTATTACATGTAAACCCTAAAGTCATGTTGAGTCGTGAGAAAACCCAGATTTAAAATTCTAAAGAAGAATATATCGATGTGATTAAAAACCAATCTACAAATATAAAAAAGACTAAATAACCACAGTAAAGAGTGAGGTCTTTTATCATCCAGCTCTAACTCAGGAAACTTGATCATTTTTCTTTTAACTCGTGGGTGTAAAAAGAGGCTTTTGGTTGCAGAAACACGGCTGCACATCTGTTGCATCCCTTCAGCGGTTCTCGTCCAGCTACGCTACCTGAAGTCGCAGAGCTTCGGCTGGGTCCCACACTGCTGCTTGCATACAGCACAGTAACTGGCCAGAGGCACATTTCCGCGGACCCAGCGATGCTCCATGGCTCCTTCGGGGCTGGAGGGGGCCATGATCTCCTTGCAGGACAGGCTGCGGTCGGCCCGGCGCAGGCACTGCTCGTCGGCGCACACGCCGCAGCAGTCGCAGAAAGCGCCTTGCAGGATGTGCTGGGAGCACACGCAGCAGTAGGTGGGCTTGTTGAACAGGTCGGTGTAGTGCCAGCCGTGCTTGCTCTTGCGAAAGAAATCCTTCATGTGCGATTTCCTCTTGGAGCGTTGTGCGCTGCACCACAGCGTGATGATGACCGGAACCACGACGGCCACGGAGGTCCAGAACAGTAGAGTCCACTCCTCCCGGGAGCCGCAGTCGTCCTGCGCCTCGTCCCCTTCTCCGCACATCGCTGCGGGACCGTGGCGAGACGCTAACGAGCGGAAATCAGTAGAAGGCAGATAAACGGCACCTAAAGGAGACCGGACACGCTCCACAGCTCCACGCGACGCTCATGATCACAAACACTAGCCGGAAGCTGGTTCTGAATCCAGCTAAAATATATTTTCTTGTATAGGAAGGTGTAAACAAGAGGACAGAGATATGACGTTAAAACCACGAGCCACCTCCTGATAGAGCATCAGCAGAGAGTTTTCACATGACAAGATGATCAACCCACGGAGGAAAAAAACGTCATGACTTACATACTGCTGGGTAATTTCAGTAATAATGATTCAGCAAACTAAACGCTTATAATAGATGGCACGAAGCACAATGTAGGCCTACAATATTTGTAAAATGTTTAAAGTTTTATATTATAGAAGTATTTATCATATTTAAGGAAGCAGGGTGGTTTTCGTGGTTAGCACTGTTGCAAGAAGGTCCTGGGTTTGAATCCAGCATCTCTGTGTGGAGTTCTCCCCGTGTCTGTGTGGGTTCTCTCCGGCTTCCTTCCACAGTCCAAAGACATGCAGTTAGTGGGGTTAGGTTCACTGGTGGTTCTAAAATTGGTCGTAGGTGTGAAGGTGAGTGTTAGTGGTCGTCGGTGTTTGCCCTGTGAGGCTGATGACCTGTTCACTCAGTAAATGTATTGTGTTTCATTTCACCACTGGCCATCCTCCTCATGCTCTTGGTCAGCTGTGTTTGGCATTATAAGGTTAACAGTACTTTAAGAGGAACTGGGATCCCTGAGGGGTGAGACTATTTTCCGTTTCCGTTGGAATGTGAGCGAACACGGAAGTAACTGAAAGTCGACATCTCACAATTCAAATTTCATCTCTGATTCTGCTGCCCCGGCTTGCTAGCAGCTGGTTATCAGCACGCATGCGCCTTGCGAGCGCAGAGCGCATTAGATAATCGCGTCGAGAGAACAGAAAGCTCTCTGGGTCCCGGGAATTAATCAGAGCAGTGACATTATGAGGCCGTAATAAGTCCACGTGGTTATTAGGACACGTGCATTAAGTTAAACGTGCAAAGGGAGTCGCGAGGAAATGGTAACAATGACGCACAATGACGTATTCCATCGAACGTCACCGGATGCACTCCTGTACAGCAGCTAAATAAATATTAAGGGTTAGATTAGGATGTCCAGACTTCAGCAAACTAAATGTAGGCAGGGGAGAGAGAGTGTGGGACACTTTACCCGTGATGCTCAGAGATATTTGAAACTAACACAAAAGTTGGATTTCGGGGACAGAATCGATTTATTTCTCTCTGAGAATAATGTTTAACATTGTTCATAACTGTATTTTAGCTGCTGGTTTATTGAGTTTCGTTAGGATGCATCTGTTTGTATGCTACGGGCGCACCCGTGAAACTCAAATGACGGATTTAACAAAAAAAGAAAAGAAAATAGGAAACCCTGATCCATAATTCTGCGAGAATCACATTCAATCGGCTCAATCCAGTTTCTAGAGATTTCCCATATTTGCTGCAATTGCACTTCCTTTTCTTTGTGGCAGTTTTTTTTAAATGAAATTTTTTTAAAAAACAACTCTTAACTTTGCTGTGATTCAGATTTTTTATTTAGCGCAGACATCGTGTAAGGTTAAGCTGCAGGGGTAACTTAACATGGAACACCGTCCGAATGTGTGTGACAAAGGATAATGAATAACAACCCTGCTGAGAACGGCTAGACTGCTACTTCACCTTAATTAGTGACTATTCAGTCATATCACTGGTGTTTTGGAGAATAAAAATTAGAAATGCAAAGTGGAAAAACTGAACGAGAAAAAGGCAGAACATGCCGACTGGTCTCCAAATGGGTTAGACGGTAGAAACAGCGGATCCTCCACTTCCCATGATGCCGTCTTTCACATGTCCGGTCATCGTGGTTATTTCCTCTGACTCGCCTGCTGCGCCACACAGTACAGACTCTATTCACAGGTCAAGCAAAGTGACGTTTCAGTGTACTTTGTGCGGAATATTCTTTAAAAAACAAAAAACGCGTTTATTTAATAATGTTGTCTTACAAACATTTTTTTTGTTTGTAAGAAAAAGGCAGAAAGAAAGGGGAAAATAAAACGTAGTTAACAGACGGATACACGTAAATATTACACTATGAATGGGGTGCACAGCTGGTATGACATAAAAATATAAGAGCATCTAAAAACAAGACTATAACTATGCATATGACTATGCTTGCAGCACCATCTAGTGGATAGACCTTTACCTGCAACCTAACCTAACACCTACGTTTAATACATTGAAATAGACTTATTCTGCTTTTCCTTGTTTTTACATCTTGGCTGTTCCTAAGACTACGTTCTTCTGGACAGAGATCTCGGATGTTGTTCCTGGGATCTGCTGAAGCCACTAGCCCAGCTTGGGGGTCACTGCACTGAGCACTCCGATTACCACTGGGACCACTGTTGCCTTCACCCTCCACATCTTCTCCAGCTCTCTCTCCGCCCTTGGTACTTCTGCTATGGTCGTTTTCCTCTGCTTGTCCACTACTACTATGTCCGGTTGGTTAGCCATCACCAGTTTGTCTGTCTGTATCTGTGAGCTAGACCCCAGCCTCTATGGATCTTGTGCTCAGAGCTTGTTCCTGTGCTGCCGTGATTAGTGCCTCTGTGCTGTCTTTCAGACCAGCCACTGGTAGGATTGTTTTGCTTTTGTTTATAGCCTGGATCTTGCTTGTCCCATTCAGCTGACGTGCCTCATCTCTGCAGGTATTTGGTGGTTTAAGACTGCTTTTTCTACTTTTTGCTCTATGTGATGTCACTGAGAGGATACAGAAGCTCCGCCCAGCTGGCGTGCAAATCTTCTGTTTACATGGATCAACTGATCATAACAAATTTGTCTTAAAGGGGGAGGATCTAAAGCAGCTTGTTTCAGAAAGAGGAGGAACTGATGGGGTCTACAAAAAGCTCAGCATAAGATAATATGGATAATTTTTAACACTCAATCATGCAAAATGACACTGTTAGGGCACAATAATAAAAATAAGGAGCTGTAAATTAGTTAGTTATTCACAGGAACTGTTCACCTTTAAAGCATTAATTGGTAAACTTTATATCTTTACATGTGCTAATGTGTCACTAATATTTACAGTTTATTTGAAACCTTGGTAGTCTGAGGCAGTGTGTTGTGGCCAGAGTCAAGGAGGAAGCAGAGGAGGAGGAGGATCTCCTCTTTTCACCCCCTCTGGACTCTGGTCAGGACCTCAGAGTTGAGAGGGCTCAGGCAGGAAAAGGGCGAAAAAGAAAAAGATGAAGAAGCTGGTGGTGTTTTTGCTTTGCGTGGTCCTGCTGACCATTTACACAGGTAGGAAATTCTCAGGGAATTGACGCATGGAGGACAGTGACCTGTCACATCAGAACACCTTTTCAGGTGCTCTGCGTCTTGTTTTTTGCAATTGTGAGGGAGCTGGTGTAGTTATATCCTTAGACGTTGAAGAGTAATGCATACCATTGTGGTAAGGATAGGTTATTTTAAGGGTAGTTTGCTGCACCTTCCTTTTGTTGTGGTAGAAATATTTAGATAGATGTGCAGAAGATCTTTATTTGTATTTTTAGCCCAATCTTTTTGAAACACTGTTGTATTTTATAACAATTGACTTTTGGCCTGATTTAAGCCAGAAGACTTACACGTCATCAGGATGGTTTATTTTTGTGGCAATCCACAGGTGGACGTACACCGTTAGTATTTTTGCCACGTTGCTCTGAGGCTCCAGGCAGCACCAGCAGCTCAGGCCTGTGTTGACAGAGTTTCACAGCAGCTCCCTGTGGCAGGAGAGGAACAGAAAGCCTGCTGGGGTCACATGCTGCATGGGCTCGACTCCCTGGGGAGCGAGGGGGCTGAATGGGCACTTTGTTACCTTCCACCAAATACCCTGCTTCCTAATGCAGGCCCGGGCTTAGAGAGAGAGGGAGACAGAGAGCCCTCACTGGTGTGCGTGTGTGTGTGTGTGTGTGTGTGTGTGTGTGTGTGTGTGTGTGTGTGTGTGTGTGTGTGTGTTGTGTGTGTGTGTGTTTGTGTTCGGTGTGTGTTTGTGTGTTGGTGTGTGCGTGTGCCTGCCACTGGGGAATAAACAGCCTCACATAGACACTAGCTAAATAGATCAGGCCAGCCACAGCTCACGAGCAGCAAATAGTGTGAGAGTTTTATTTATGGGCCTGAGTACAGCTTTCAGTGAGAGGAATGCTATTCTTATTAACCACAACTTAGCTGCCAAGAAAACAGATGTCACAAACAAAATATCTCAGGCAGAGGTTAAATTCAAAGCAGGCAGTTTTAGTTCCTGAGTCTAAGAATAAGCAAAAACAGAGGAAGCTGCCAAAACACAAACACTGACTCACATCTACAAGGCAAGAGCAAAACAGTCTTATCCTAACCTGCTAAACCTTCTTCTACAGCACCGAAAGAAGTCAACGTAAGTAAACATTTACTTCCAAACTCTTATCTTTACATTTTTTTCCCTTTAGATGCAAACCCCATAATCAAGGAGAGCGTAGCTAAGCAGCTGCTCCGTACCAAGAGGCAGGACCGGCCAATGAAGGCTGGCTACCCCGATGAGCCAATGAGGGTAAGGTCCACTCAGAGCAAAGAGCACAGTTAGTATATTGGAAAAAGCACAGATTTAACCAAGAGTATTGAACCTATTCAGTTCTGTTGCAACAGTTTGTGCTGTCCTGTTTGTCAGCAGGATAAAAGCCGAACATTGCAACACAGTGTAAGTGCTGCAAGCAATTTAAATTTTGGTTTTTCTGGTAAATTTGAGTCCTGCTCATGTCACTCGTCCATATAATGAATTCATTCTGTGTGTGTTTTAAAGCTTTTAGTTATAGTGTTTAATCACATTTATGCGGGTTAAACAGTTTTAAGTTGAAGATATAAAAGCATAAGCAAATCTGTCTTATCACTTTGTTTCTAGACCAGTCAGCACTGACTCAGGTGAGGAGCTTTGCAAAGGCAGTATTTTTAAAACTTTCATAGACCTTCAGAGAACATTTAAAGCCTGTTACAATATTTTATAAGACATTTATTATTATTATTGTTTATAGTCTGCTTAGAGATGGTAAGCGTTAAAGCTTTGTGAGTGTTTTTATGAGTGAATTTTTAGAATTTTTGTACATTGCAAATACTTTTGATATCACCTCATTTTATTAGTCTTTGTTTGTTTAGTGTAATTTAGTGACTCTTTCTGTGTTAAATCACATGCAAAATTAAAATAAGGTCAAAAAAGGTCAAGTGGGACAAGAAAAATATATATATAAAAAAAATTAAAATAAGGTCAAAAATAAATAAAAAACCAAATGAAAATTAAATAAAATATAACAAGTAAATACAATATAATTCCATCTATTGTATAATTAAAGGGAATTTTACCTAGGATCATTTTTCAGAAGATATTCTATGTGTATATTTATAATAAACTGTGTCATTACATATTATTTAATACATATGGTACCTGTAAAAGAAAAACAACAAAAACCTTTGACCCTTTCTCTGTGGGACAAAGAGAGCACGGACACAAAGGTCCGAGTCACCTAATCTAATTTACAGGTTACAGCTGAGACTCTGAGCTTGTCGGTTCCTGTCAGTACCTGAGCTTCTTAAAATAATCTCTCTGAAAGCACGTGCACTGCTTTTATTACATCCCCCAGCTCTGTACAGGACACGTGATATCGCCCTCGGTTTACTCATCTCTGTCATTTTATGTTGTGCTCTGTTTCAGTTTGCAAAATGAGCTCCAGCATTTTTCTTTCGTTGTTTCTTTCAGTGTGCACTCATCTGTCTTTTGGTTCGTCTTATTCAATGATGTCAATCTTCTCCCTGCAGGAGCATCTGCTCCACATGCAGGCTCTGGATCTGAGGGCCCGGGAGACCAACTTGGAGCACTGGCTGAACCCTCACTGCTACCCACGCTGCGACAGAAACTATGGAAACCCGGTTTAAAAGGTGGCAAAAGTCACCCGAAGTCTCAACTTTCACTTCTAACCCCAACTGCAAACTATTCATGAGTGACTACAGCACAGTGCATCTGCACAGCAACAGACCCCTCAGTTTTCATCTCAGTCACCTTTTTAGACACCTTTTATTCCCTGATGGCTAAAGCCCTTTTCTCTTTTGAACTGAATGACTTGTTTCTGTATTGGAAATTTGTCTCTGCTGTTGTGTTAGTGCTCTTCCTGTTTTTTGCGATTTTATCAAGACTGTTTGGCACAACAGGAAACCTCAGAAACCTGTGAGAAAATATCTCACAGCCAGGGCTCTTTTCTTTGAACACTATTAGTTTTCTTGCTTAACTCTTTTCAAAAGTCAAACTGGCTATCAGTGGTTAAGAATTACGAAATCAGGCTTATTCGCCAGTTCTGAGTTAAATTGTGATAACGCCAAAGTGTCACTTTGAGGATCTGAGTTCCCTGTGATAAAGTTTCAGTTAAGGGTGAAGTGATGTCCATGTGGTTTGGTCATAAAGATAGTAAACCAAGTTTGGTGGCCTGCTTGAATCTAAAACTATACCTGAATATTAGATGTTAATATGAATATTAAGACTGATTTGTGCCTCACTTCACAGTACATATGGATTTAAGGGGATATAGAATTATTTTTTTTAACTACACTGACAAACTTGTTTTTAATCTGAATTTGTTTTCTCTCTCTGCAGTAAAAGGCCTGCTGTGACTGACTGACCGTGGACTGAAGCTGGAGTCTCTTTTCTCATTATTTTTCAATCTAATGACCAAAATATGCATGTGTTGTATTATTTCTAGAGTGAATTCTTTGTAATTTGCTCCTTTACGCCTTTATTTCTGTAGCTGCACAGACTGAAATTTGTTAATGAATAGAATAAAATAAAATAAAATAAATCATAAGCTCCAATAAAGTTGTATTTATTTGTTTGAATAAGAGCGAGACTGCAGACCTGCATGCAGATCTTAATCATTTCCTTTTTTCTGAAGACAGTCGACTGGATTCTGGTTTCAGTGACATAAAAGTTTTAGCGCCTCAAGTTATTTGCATATTAGATGGCGTTTTGTTCTCTGCTTAACACCTTGAAGCGGAGGCAGGCCAGAATGTTTTTTCCTTAGCCGTGTTCGTGCGTCTAAACGCCCCCTTCACACACCTTTCCCCCCGTCTTCACGCTTTGCTTTACAAAAGCTCTAAGAAACATTTTATTTCGTTTTTGGGGAAATGAAACAAACACGAAGGATTTTGCTGTTCTGATAAAATATATTTGTGTGATAATTACCGGATTTCAAACTTTGATAAACTGGCTGACCGGATGCATAAAACTAAATGTGGGACAAAACGTGCGCGCGCAAGACGGCAGTCCACACTTGTAGCTGACAGAAAATTGAACACAAGCACCATCGTTCACCTGACGCAGGGCGAAGGGAGGCGCACGCCGTGAACAGGTCACCACTGTGACACCTCAGAATGACCAGTTAACCTAACGCGCATGTCCTCGGGCTTTGAGAGAACACAAACTCCACAGACAGTCGTTCAGAAAGTTTGAACCCACATCAGCCACTGCACCACCCGCATCATGTGGAGGACATATACAGGCCTGCTGTATTCGCCCCCCAGTCTGTTTACGTACAGAAATTACGAATGAAGCTAAAGAGGGTTTGTTTTTGTCATATTTTTATAGGCGACATATGTTTTATTATTATTTTATTCTAAAAACCGATAAAATTGATTGTTAATGACCCCACCCGTTTTCCTGTCTGACCGCGTCGCTCCTGATTTTACGCCACACAAGTGCGGTGATTGAAGCGCTCCAATCTGTACAGTATGAACGCCGTAGAACCCGCGATCGGTCCACATGTGAGTAGGCCTGTGTCGCGGATGAATAAAGCAGAGCCGCGCTGCATAGAGCTGTGAAATGTGTGCACCTGCATGCGGAACAATTTACCCGTTTCTCATTTTTCACCGCACTCTAAGGCTGTTGTCTGAGGCCTGTCCTGGCGCAATCGCATACACAGAAAATATCATGAAATCAATCAAAAACATTAAAAATGTGTTTACTTTTAAATATACCTTGAATAAAAATGGAATAATTATAGGAATTACTGGCTGCATTTGGTCATTTCAATCGTTTTCTTTTTCTTTTTTTAATAATAAAACTAAGCGGGCATGCAGCCATGTAGAGTCACGACGCATACAAAAATTAAACAATGAAAGCAGATTCACGGACTTTTATTGACCAGAGGGGGGAGAATTTTGTGCTGTTGCAACTCTGGAGGGAGAATCATGTAGGCCTCCCGCAGGACTGTGCGAGCCGGGCTGGGTGATGAGCCCGAGGCCTTTAACTTTTGGCGCAACTTTGCAGAAATTTCAATAAATAAATAAATATTAAACAACGCGTTGAAATCGAGAGATATTATTATATGTGGGGAATATAAAACTAAGCCCGGCGGTTAAGTCGTTTGTCGGGTCTAATTGATGGATCTAAGCGGAACCCGGAGGGCTGACGATGGTTTAAAAACAACACAAAGAAATGAGAAATTCAAATGATTTATTGAAAAGCGTCTAAAAAGCAGTTTGACAACAACCTCTTTTTTTGTCAGTTACAACAAAGCTGTATGATCGTTTTTCTATGAAAATGTAAAATATAGGAACTATGTTAATGGAAAATGTTATATTAACTTTGGGAAAACTTCAGAGTGTGTTGAATTTGTTAATTTACTTTAGGTTTTAGAAATCTCCGAGGCAAACTCGGTCTTTGAAGACAACATAAAGATTTTTTCTAATACTTTAAAATTCAAAGTGCTTGAGTTAATTTTTAAATATTATTCCAGGATTTGAAATCAAGCGAAACCTTTCAGTCAAATCAGTTCAAATAAAGAGAATTGTTCAGACCACAACCTGAATTAAATATCCTCGCTGCACAGCTCAGGTGGGAAGAAACGTGGAAAAAATACATTCTTGTTAGTTTTAAATGCAAAATAGTAAAAGTCACAAGATCTGTACAGAAAGTAGCCACTCGCTGCAAAGGAAACATGCAACTCATGTTAACCATTGCACAATGTGAAAGGGACTTCATTTGATTTGGTCAATACATTAAATAGATGTCCAGCTTTATATTATATACACATATGCACATTATGTTATTTGCCTTTTTACATTACATACAAAATCTGCGTTGCTTGATAATCCCACCATGTCCTATAAACTTCAGATCTGCTGAAAGTCAGAAAACAGAGCATCAGTCAGTCATCTTTTGTCCTTGAAGAAGCCTTTAGAAGTGCTGCTCTCCTTGATGGTGACCGTCAGGAAGTTGGTGGTCACGTCTGTCACCAGGACCTTCTCCACGTTGCCGAGAGACGGCCTCCACGTCACTTCGTCCAAGTCGTCGTCGAGCCGCGTTGGGGACGGCCTGTCCAGAAAATAAGGCTTTTCCATTTGGGGGAGCTCGGCGGGACGACTCAGACTCATTTTGGAGTGGTGCTTGAAGTGTGCAGGTACCAGGTAGGCGGAGACGTCCTTTATCCTGTGAGTGTCCATGTCTGTTCTGTGAGGATGCAGGCCGCGGTCTGAGTACAGCTGTTTGTAGGAGCTCTCCCCAGAGCGCTGTGTGTGGTGATGGTGGTGGTGATGGTGGTGGTAATGATGTTTATGGCTGTGGCCGTGGTTCTCTGGATGTCTGTGGGCCAGTTTGACCAGCCTCATGTCTTCGCCCCCCTGGAGCTTAGCCAGTTTGTGAGGGCCGTGGCTCTCCTGCTCCTCCCCTCTCCTTTTATGGTGCTCAGAGAAGACCTCATTAAACCGCGGCTTAGGCTTGGGACCTCTCTTTTTAGGTATGTGGATGAGGTCTTCTGAACTAGTATGAAGCAAAGACTGCTGGTGCTCACGAGGGCTCAGTTCAGGCGGTCGGACGCGTACGCTTTCTCCACGGTTGACGGTACTCGGTGGGAAGATGGTGGGCACGACAGCTCTCAGGCCCTCTCTGGCCCTGGGGGTGGCAATCGGTTCTGGGGTCGGGTAGGTGACGCGCATTCCTCGGACTGCTTCGCTCCTGAAGTCATAGGACTTGGACTTCACCTTTGCCTGAGCCTATCAGAAAATTTTTGAAATTAGTATTTTAAGAAAATGACACCATTTTTCATAGCGAACATCAAACTGAATCAGTTAAAAGGGATTCATTCATTCTTTTATCGTTTGCTTTTTCTATTAATTTGTAAAATGTAATTTAAACAGCCAATTGATTGCTTCTACCTACACCTGTCATATTGGACTGCTAATAAACTAACTATCGAAAGAGTGGATATTAATCTTACATCAATAATTCACAGCAATAACTAGTTTCAGGGCACCATGTTTATTACTAAACTTCTACCAATCCCCTTTAAACGAGCCCTGTCAGTGGAGACTCTGGCATTTTGTTCAAGACAAATTGCCGCTCATTAAGCAATTTTCACGGTTCACCGCTCTGAACAGATGAAGCATCAGGCCGTGATGTTTTCCTCGGCTCATTGGAAAGTAACATGTAATCATAAAATTTTAATTAAATCATTTATTTCAGACACATATCCATTTCAGTATATAGACTATTTGTTTTATATTTTTTTAATCTATTTATAAATTACACAACAGGGACAACAAATGCATAAACGGCATGTGTTCAAGAAAAGAAAAACACCTCATGTCCTTTAAAGTAGAGTAGTTTTATAGTTCTTACAACTATATTTTAGAGGCAAATAAATTTGTACATTAAAATTCAAGTGAGATTTTTTTTATTACTGATCTACAAAATTGGAGAACTTAAACATTCCTGAATTCTAATTTATTACATGCCACCTGGAGCTTTTCCATTTTTGCTTTAAAAGTGGCTTTAATAAAGAGACAACAGACCCAGAGCGTGTAAAAAAAAGAAGAAGAAGATGGAAAAACAGCCTGGCTGTTTGTTAAACACATTTTATTTAACAGGACACAAAGAGTCCTCATGTAAGCTATAGTCCATTAAAACAGCTGCATAATACCTGATTTTTCTCTTCATTTAGAGAAGCAGAAATAACCAGATACATGCCAAACTCTCTGGGTCAACCCATTTGTCAGGACCTAGAAATAATTTTATCATATATATTCTAATGCCTGGTATCACCACAAAATTAACAGTTCAATTTCCCCAGTTGAAAAAAGCCCCCTGATGGGACACCTTTTGCGATGTGCTTCTGGCCCCAGGGGCCGCTTGTTTGACACCCCTGTCTTTAGGTATTCAAAGCCTGTTTTAGCATGTCAATACATCCCCATTAGGCAATAAACAAACTGAATACACTCCCATTCATGGGCAGGCTGTCCTAATTATGCATAATTAGCATATTTAACCTGCTCATTCACTAATGCACTCAAAGAAAAAAATTAAGAAGCCACAATCTACAGAAGTGGAGAGAGCGCAGGAAGGGTTTGTTGGGGCTTTATTAGAGACACGCAATAAAAAAATAAAGCAAGCTGCCAGCTTTACCTTAAGCAGAAACGTCTTGGGTTTTGGTCCTCTCTTTTTGGGCCCGTAGAGCTCCCTTTCACGCTCCCTGTGAAAAACCAGACACCCATTTTGAGTGTCACGGGAGCAAAGTGCACCGAGGACAGCGTACAGTTACCGAACACTCACTGGCTCTGCCCAGAAAGGCCACACAGACATCTTACCTCTGTTCAAAAGCGGCGAACAGGCGGGAGTCCAGAATATTTTCCTCCGGTTCCCAAGTGCTGTATCTGCGAATTAAAAACGCAGAGTTAGACAGAGGGAGCGGAAACTGACACACGGCGCTAGCCTGCGAGCTAAAAATCTCCACCGTGCTCAGTTTTAATCCCGCTGTCTCGCTAGCTGTGATGTGCTGTGCTAACGACAGCCACAGCCGAGACAGTGCGGGCAGGGCAGCCGCGGGGTGAAAACATAATGAGGCTCAGTGTAGCGGGACTTACTTGGGAGACCACCCCTTCCATTTCACGAGGTATTCAATGCGACCCTGCATGCCATCAGAAACAAACAGACAGGACTTGGTTAGCTCGCAAGGGTTAATAGTAGTATGAGAGTGCGGCGGTGGTGGTCTTATTCAGCATTCTGGGAGAAAAGAGCACGTTACATCTCCCGCCTACCTTCCTGATTCTGCGTTTGATGATAGACTCGGCAGCGAACACCCTCTCCCCGACGGCAGAAAGCTCCATGTTTACCCCAGTGCTACCTCCCGTTAGCTGGGTGGACGCTAACGCTAGCAGAGCAGATATTTTTCTCCAGTCCCAGCCACTCTGAATTCCCGACAGACCATAATACTCCCGAACAGAATGGACGTCAGCGCAGTTTTTTCACAGCGTTGCTAAGGAACCGCAGTCGGTGGAACCTTTAGGCGAGCACCCATTGGTCGAACCGTTGCTACGTGCTCTGGTTGCTAAGTGGAGAGGAGGAGCTTGCGCCTCTGCGAATTCTTCGGGGAGGGGGAAATGGTGGCTTTTTTCCCCGCGCTGCGAGTGAATCATTTCGCGCAAGTTATGTGCGCAAAAATGCACGCGGTCTCGTTATGCGGACACGCCAGCCTTGTCAGGCAAATAGAGAGAGAGTAGGAAATAACGAGGGCGCCTGAATTGCGCGCCAGCGCGTAGGTAGTTTCCCCCATTTGCGTTTGGTCGCTACAGCAGCGTATTCATCAGCTGATGAAGCGGAGGTTATTTTTTGTTATTCCATAAACACCAAACGATCGCCTCCACGTCCTCCCTGCGTCAGGCCAAGTGCTACATATCTGCCCGGTCCGTTCACGTGATTTTATCTAATTATTCTCTGCGCGTTCACCTTAAAGAGAAAATATTGTAATTATATTCAGCCGTCTGATTTACCGCATATCACACGCCGGCGCTCCGTTGTTTGAAATAAATGCAAAGTGGGTGATACATTTAAATCAAATACATGCCTGTAATGTTATAAAATAAATTTGTGTTTTGGTAGGAGGTCAGTCCATTGGATCTCAGCGATTAAACTGAACCTTTCAGTGACACTGATTCATCAGACGTTAGGAAAACAGCTGTCACGGCCCAAAGATAAGTAGTAATAAGACGAATTTTCCAGGAAGAGATCTGGGAAAGCTTCTCGCTGTGTGAGGTTTAAAGGCATCTGATTGGTCTCTTCAGTGAAACGGGGGGTTGTGATTTGTTTCTTTGAATTATGAAACACAGCCATCTTTGAATTTTTGTTTAATTTTTCCCGATAATGAGATTTCTCAGCCCAGATAATCGGAAGTTATGGATAAGCTCCTGCGAGGCCCCTTGTTTTTAACGCACATCAAACAAAAAGGTCAAAGTTAAACCGCAGTTTTCACTTTTCCTTTCTCACAGTGAGGCGCCCTTCCGCTCATAAATCCGATCCCTGTTTTCCCATACAGTGCCACATTTATGTTACCCGCAAAAAAACAAACAACAAATTAAATAAATTCGATTATTTATCCATTTACTTTGGTATCAGTGTAATGATAAAAAATTATAAAATAAAAATTAATTTAAAAACATTATTATTATTATTATTATCATTATTATTATTTTTTAAATTTATTTATTTTTCATTAGACTGTTTTTATATTTATAATTTTTTACTTGCTCATTTTTTAGATTCGATTTTATTAGGTTGAAATAGTAAGAATAACTACGTTTATATATATATGTATATATAAAAAATTATTTATATGAACAGATCTGTTTAACAAACGTTTATTTGCTTGATGTGTCTGTTTAGCGCGGACGGTAACGGCTGAGTCAGCATAAAGAGCGGTTAGTCTTGGCTGAATCATTTGAACATCTTTGCTGAGACTGGCTGATCTTTCTTCGTCAGTTAAAAATGAGATGAAATGAATTCCAACACAAGGACAGCGGCGATAAAGGGAAGCGAATGAGTAAGTAAGTAAAAAAAAAAAAAGATGGCCATACAATCTGGTTATTAATTATGCATTTAATTCCTCTTGGGTTGGAATATTTTTAAATAAATTAAAAATTTTCAAAAATGCCTCAGACTCATGACTCATCATCTAAATCTATTACGTCTTAGCAGCAGGTCAGGTTAAACTTCACTGCGATCATTTACTGTTAAATATGTTCAAGCATAAAACTGATGTAAATTCTTTCACATACACATTTTATTTATTTTATTTATTTCGTCCTTGAGCACCACTCCCAAATATTCTTTTAGGAGTCATTTATGTAACGCTAGGGTAACCACAAGAGAGATATGATTTTCGAAGGCAGAGAAGCTTGACAATGTTTCAGAAACGTAACATTACATCTATCCATTCAAACTCTGGCTGTGGTGAGCTTGAAGAAGAGGATGAAACTGACCTCTAGCCCCTTCCAAAACGAGTCTGCCCCAGGACCCCTGCTCAGCAGCACACCGCGGGACCGGCCAATTAGCAGCCAGCCAATCAGCAGCCAGCAAGGGATAAAATACGGATCTGAAGAAAATGGTCTCCCTGCACCAAAGAAAGAAACACCCCGCAGAGCTGACAGTGTAAAAATGCAGCACCGATGTCATTTCCTCAAGTGCTGGATATCCAGTCTTCCTTTTAACCTTTTCTGGCTGTGCCGGATTCATTCAATCATTCTGAGGTACATTGATTTAGAGGGAAGAAGCGTTTTTAGAGAGGGATGAGAGAGATGGCCCAAATCCACTCCCGTGCACTCCTTGCTGGGGTTTCGGATTCTAACGGGAGTTCACAGAATTCCTCTGGGACGAGCATTGGTGCCATTTAGGGCTGCTTGTGATGCTAAGTCATCAAATGCATTTAAATGCAACTTGCATCTGTTTACAGGGAAATTATGCAACATGCAATGACGTTTTTATGTCACACAAACTGTGATCGGAGCCTCTAAAGAGGAAGCAGACAAAGGTGGACCGTCCTGAACACGGCCCAGACACAAATCTTTCAGCTCTTCCAGGTGTGCGTTCACAGCCCAGACCTCCTAGTGTCCTACATAAAAAAGGAGAAAAATCTGCCGCACAAGGGTGTGAGAGTGTTTGAGCAGGAGCATCAAATACCGGAAATCATCATGGATTATAATCCCACAGAGGGACGGCTGGACGACATGGGCAAGCTGGTGAATGGCTACAGCTGCAAAATGAGAACCCTACGGTATACTTGTGATATGTTTCAACATCTTAGACATCCCAGCGTGAAATGCTTTCATCATCTGGATATATCCAAAGCCACACTGGAACACAGGAAAGCTCCAGAGCAAAGGATTTTCTCGAGGAGCCTGGCAAGGCCCTGGTGCAAACTACAAATGCGGAGAAGACAAATTCAAGAACAAGCGCTCCGTGAGGAGCAGGAGGATGATGCCTTCACTAACTATATATTCTGTGTGTGCGTGCGTGTGTGAGTGGGTGAGAGAAATCCATCATTTAACTTCGCATATTCTCAACGAATAAGATGCCCTAATTCATCTTAAGTAAGCTGCACTTAGTTTTTCTAAGGCAACAAGTTTGCATAATTTTTTTTCTGAGAACTAATTACATTTTACAGTATAGGTCTCTGCCACACACACACACACGCACACACACACACACACACACACACACACACACACACATTATTTTTTTAGACCGACATAATGTGTTCAATTTAATAACATTCCTCATTTATATTTATTGGATAATAAAACACGTTTTCCTTTTTCTTTTTCACGTTTCATCACTTTAAAATATAAACACTATCATGTAAAGCTAAACATGTAGGTACATGGTAAACAATATGCTGCCTTTATTGCTTTAAGCGTAATAAAACAAATAACTGAGGTTGGTTTAAAATCTCAATCATGCGCGCAGGTCCAGCAGGCCCACGATCACTGACTGAGGAACAAAAACATGAAAACCACACGGGGGTGAGGAGGCCTCACATCGGGATAATTAAGAGCAGAGATTGACTGAGCACCAACAATTTCGGGGAAATTTAAAACTATCCGGAGCATTTGTCGTTTTAAATTCCTAAACTGTTGCTAATAAAAAGGTGTGACTACAGGCTGAGTGAAGATGCCACGACGCATTAAAATTCCCCAAATTTCTAATAAACCAAATTTAAACATGTTTTCTGTTCTTCTCAGTTTCTGAGCGAAAGGATCTTCGAATAAAACTCATTAAAACCGGCTCAAAATCACCTGAAAGAGCCAGAACAGAAATTGACTCGCAGTAATTTGGTGTTGCGCGCACAGAGGGAAATATTTACCATTTATGTAAGATAATTTCCCCCGGAGGTGAAACCCAAAGGGAATGGTCGAACACCAAACCCAAACTAAATATTTGAAAGATGCCCTAATCTCCAAAGCATTACTCTGGATCTGTAGGCTGCGGTGAGTGACATATCAGAACCTCTTAAAGGAAGCAAAGCTCGGATTAAGCCTTTAGCTGGCCCGGTGATTATTCCAGGCTACAGGTTCTGATCCATGCTTCGGCTTTTTTTTCTTCTGAGCGCAGACAGAAAGAGAAGATGGGCGCACCTCAGACTCTGGATGCGATTGGTCTCGGCGCGCCTGCAGTGCAGCAGTGCCGCCGCCATTAAAACACCATTGGTTGGCTTGTATCCGGGCAAGACGCGTGTTCCCGGTGTGCGCACAAAACAGGAATCCCCGGCTACAGCACAAAGGGACTAATACGAAAAACAGCGCAATAATAACCAGACATTTCAGACATCCAATTGACCAAGTTCAGTCCGTTCTGGAGCTTAAGCATTTAAGGAATCCTGCCCCAATTAAAGCTTTCCCCCATTTTTTTTCCACTTGTCTGGGGATTTAAACGTTTACATTAGACCCAATTTTTAGCCTTTATTAATTTCCTTTTTCCCATAGGTAATCGCACTAATGGGCAGTTGAAGAAAAAACATTAGTTCAATAAGGTATCATGGCAGGTAGTCAATATTCTTCATGGTTCTCTTCATTTTAAAGCTGAATTCCTTTCACGGATTCCCGTCATGTCTCATGAAAACTTGATTTTCGTGCAGGCTCAACCGGTTTCAAACCAACCGGGCTCGTACAGCCTGCAGGGTGAAAATGATCAGAGAACAGAGAATAGACCGAAATCAGAGGCGCGGGGCTCCAATTCACTACTTAGGGAAAACACTGTGGATAATTATGTTACGTTGACACGAAAAACAAAACAAAAAACCACCACCAGAGTCTTCATGAGTTCACAGTCTTCACAAGGGCTGAGCTCATCTGCCAGTCACCGCTGGATCACTGGAGCTTTAGTCACTTTGTTCATTGGAAAAGGCAGGGGGATCCCAGCAGGCTGCCTGCGTAAATGAAACTATTAGTCTCTAATGTTTTTATGTGCAATTTACACTCCAGTTTCTATTCCTACCCGTTTCCCCTTCAAACAACTTTTTTTCTGTGTAAAAACGACACAAAGACTCCTTTATGTGAGCAGCTTTAAAAAGAGTTTCAGAGGAATATTTGTACCAGGCTCATTGGTGGGTTTGGGACAAAACATGAGAGGATGTTTTTCCCCATTTTACAAACGGAACTAATGTTCACATCATAAAGAGCTAAAACAGTCGGGTTCAGTCAGTAATTTTGTCACGCGTGGAAATTTCTGTCCAGTTCACAGCATTTAAACCGGATCTAAATTTAAAAAGGGCAGGCGGGTCAAGAGGTTTGTAACTGCGCTGATGTGTGGCGCAGTCCAAAATCTGCACTTAAGGATGTGTGTGGAGAAAGTGCCGGCCCACTCGAGACTCCCCTCGGAATAAAAGTTTGGCAATTCAAAAAGCACGTGTCTTCTGTGAGACGAGCCCTGGATCTGTTCATCACTCACACGCAAAATCAGCTCAACCTGACACAAATCAGGAAGAGAAACAGCGCAAATCCTCCGTGCAGCATTTTGTGCAATTCTTCTTTAGATGATTGCAGTAAGAAACCAACTTGTTTGGTGTCTGTCACATTTTTTTATTAGATTCTTTACACGAATAAGCGCAAACAGCCATTACAAAGGAAGTAACTTGGTCTTAGATCCTGCGGGGAATTTCCCGCTGTAGCTCCTCAGCTGGAACATCGCGGTAATAATTTGCGGGCTGCTGCTCAGCGTTTCGGAGAGACGCGAGAGAAGAGCGCGCACGGAGGAGGAGAGGACAGCCATTTTCTCTGTCTACGCTCATATTAATGCGCACAGAAAGCAGTTTTATTGGCGGGTTGGAGCAGAGGAAATGGTCGAGAGCTGCCATCTCTGTCATTGCGGTTGTCGGAATGTCAGATTTCATCGCTTTTCTAAAGATTATTTATGCACACACATTGTCGGAAAATACGGATATCGCACATTTCCCCTCACAGCAGACGGATAGATGATGCATTCGTGTGGCAAGACAAAAATGTTTCGGGCAGCTTTAGGACTGAGCTCACCTGCACGAACCAGCTCCTTCACTATATGCATGCATTAAACAAGAAACGTGAAAATAATACCCCGCCTCTGCCATTAAAGCTGAACCTGTAGCGAAGAAATCAGTTGCCTCCTGTTGAGTCTCTCAGCATGGCAGCATGATTTATCAAAGAAACACCTGGCGCGAACAGCTGTTCAGGTCAAAATTATGAGCTTTAAATTACAATCGTACTTCTTTAGCATCATTTCAGCACAAAACAGACGTTTTGTTTTTCAGTCAAAGAATTCAGCGATTCAATATATTCAATATTTAAGGTCTTTCTTTTACTGTTGCATAATTCAGGCCTGTGATCGTTTCACTTTAAACTCAGTTGCTGATATAGGCCAGAATTAAACTGCAAACTTCTGTAAAAAGCAGTTTTTTATGTGAGTTAAAATAATTTGCACATATACAAGTGAAAAGGCCTGACTTTGAGCTCCAGTATGGCACACATGCTGGTCCAAAACAGCCTGTGGGATTGTAGGATGCTCATCTGAAAATACACCCCGGCTCTGTAATCCTTGTGGCCTGCAGCCCACACGCACGCACGCACACACACAGACAGACAGAGCCAAGATCAGATTTAGCTTCTTCTGAGGCAACCTTTTAAGACAACAGCAGCCGTCTTCTTCCTGCTAAAACAGTCAGCTCTCTGAGGGAAGCCGAGGTCGCATCACGTGATTAAGGGTATCCCCC